CTCCACACTGTGTTATCTCGGTGTGTTCCTCCAGCTCCACACTGTGTAATCTTAGACTTACAGCTATCTCCTACTATCTCTTCCAGATATTAACACTTACACACCCATATATAACATTAGTCGTAGTCCACAAATACTAAATTGACTTTCAGGGCTAATTCTGTTGTTTGGCAATAGTTGTCACACACATCAAGTGAGAAACCTGATTACTAAGAATAAACAAGTTGTAACTTTCGATCGAGATAGTAGGAACTGCAGATGCTGGAGAATCTGAGATAACAAGGTGCAGAGCTGGATGAACACAGCAGGCCAAGCAGCATCAGAGGAGCAGGAATTTTTCCAGAGGAAGGAGGGTAACTTCTTCAAGGTAGGCATCCTTAGAAGAGGCTTCACAGTGGGGTTAAAATTATTTCAGAGATAGTAGGAACTGCAGATGCTGGAGAATCTGAGATAACAAGGTGTAGAGCTGGATGAACACAGCAAGAAGAAGGGTCTGAAGAAGGGTCTAGGCCCGAAACGTCAGCTTTCCTGCTCCTCTGATGCTGCTTGGCCTGCTGTGTTCATCCAGCTCTACACCTTGTAACTTTCAATGGGATGTCTTGTGATGATCTGAGACCAGGAATGTTGAAGATTTCTCTCAGTTCAATGCAAGTAGCAGCAAAACACCCTGTGCCTGAGTAACAGACTATAATGTCAGGGTTCCCTTATACTAATCTGCACCCACTGGATATCCTGAGGGGGCAGTTTCAAAGGCATAATATGGATAAATGCTGACAGATCACCATCAGCAACTTTCTTCCACCCCACCCTTCCCAACACCTCATGAAATTTGGTTCAATATTGTCCTGAATTACATGATATTAAATGAAACAGACCAAATCTCTCTCATTCGTCCACATCAGATATATTTACATTTCATTGCACGATACCCTAAATATCCATTGATTTACTGCCAAATAACATCTTAAGGCAGCAGCATATTTCTGAAAACTAATCAAATTTCTGCAAAGCCTATTTTTTTTTGTTTTTTTTTCTCCCTATTGTTATCTATTCAACACTGAAGTAATGAACAATTAATAATTCAGTGGGCTGTGATGTACTGATTTACAAATTGACTGCTTTTATCTGCAGTTGATATCAGGTCGGATCCCAACAGTCCATTATTTTGGCAATGGAGCGTACACTCATTATCACTGAACTGATTTCGGGTTTGTTACATCCATATAATTTCATGACAGGCACAGCAGAATATAAAAATAGAATTGCTATGCCTGATTATTTTGGCAGTGATGGTGCTTTTTGACAACCTGAGTTTTGTACATTTGAATACGATGTGTTCGCTCACTCACAGCATTTGAATGAAAGCAGGGAAGTCACTTGTCCCCATTAGGTCTCTCTCCATTTAAACATGGCTAATGTTACTCTGTGGCAGCCACTCTGAAGTCCATACCAGACATAGAGAGACAGAACTTGAAAGAGAGAGAGACAGACAGAGGGGGAGAGAGAGAGAGAAACAGAGAGGGAAAGAGAGAGTTAGGTTTCTAAAACAGAAGTTGCTGGAAAAGCTCAGCAGGTCTGGCAGCATCTGTAGACAGAAATCAAAGTTAACGTTTCAGGTCCAGTGACCCGTCACCAGACTCAAAATGTTAACTCTGATTTCTCTCTGCAGATGCTGCCAGATCTGCTGAACTTTTCTGGCAACTTCTGGTTTTGTTTCTGATTTACAGTATCTGCAGTTCTTTCAGATTTTATTTAGAGAGATATGTTTATCTGTATTGGCCAACATATGATTCTCTGACATCTGTTAGGAGATGTGTTGGTCTAGTCGTATTGCTAGACTATTATTTCAGAGGCCCAGGTAATGTCCTGGGGCCTGGGTTCAAATCCTGCTGTGGTAACGGAATTTGAATTCAAGAGAAATTTGGAATTTAGAGCCCAAATGACGACCGTAAAACTGCTGCCAATTGTTGGGAAAATCCAACTCATTCACTGAGGAAGGGTCACGGACCCAAAACGTTAACTCTGTTTTCTCCTTCACAGATGTTGCCAGACCCCTGAGCTTTTCCAGCAACTTCTGTTTTTGTTCATTCACTAATGGCCTTTAGGGAAGGAAGTTGCCATCCTTACCTGGTCTGGCCTACATGTGACTCCAGACCCGCCATAATGTGGTTGACTGTTAACTGCCCTCTGGACTATTCAGGATGGGTGGTAAATGCTGGCCTGCGATGTTCACATCCCATCAATGAATTAAAAAAGCATGTACAGCAAGTAGCTCACAACAGCCTGGATGGAGGCCTGGTTTTCCGCTCCTTCATAATTTTGCCAAAACAAAACTCATACATGAATGCATACTTGGTCAGCCAAATACTCCATCTCCCATATATGTTGAAGAAGAGACTCTAGAATTGGTTCAGCACTTCCCACGTTTGGCAACCACTCCCTCTCAGAAGGTAACTGTTGTTGAGAAGATCTGGCACCGGATTTACTGCACCAGCTCAACATTCTACAAATTATAGTCACAAATATCGGACAACAAACACTTTTGCAAGTCAACAAAACTCATCTGCAGTCACCACAATCCTTTACTGCAGTGGGATCTAGACACATAAGAGTGCTAGCAAAATTCCATCAGTAATGCTTCTGGCGTATCTTTCAGGTTCAATGGGAAAATCACTGAACTACTTGAGCGCTTTGGCAAAACTTTTGCAAAATCAACTGCAATGAACTGAAAACTAGCATCTGGATTATCAAGCACGTTCCTCCCACTGGGTTATGTTTTCTCAACTGACCCTAACGCTAACCCTAATCCTATCACCATTCCAGCAGTGAACAAAGAGAACTGTCTAGAATGATGATAACGTGTGCATTTGGCTGTGTCCCAATTTAACTCTCAGTGTTGACAGAGTGGCAGCACGGCAGGAAAGGAAAGGAAGCCAATGCTGCATCTGGACCCAATGATTTCATGGGATGTCCCATGTGCCAGAGATCTGAGTGTCCATCATCAGGCTGTTCAGTCACACGAAGACCTGGGGTAAAACTTCAATAGACATCATGTTCAAGTAAGCCGGCAATGAGGGCAATGCTGACAATATTGCCTCGGATTCTCTGCTCTCTTCCCCAAGGTTACATTGGGACAGGGAGGTGCAGTTCAGTCAAGTTCTAGCTTCATACATTGGTAGCACCATATGTTCAGTTGTCATCAAGAGAAAAAGTCAATGGATTCACCAGATGAGAGACCCTTCCACAATCATACAAGTCTCACAGTTGCAACGGCCCATTATCATGAAAATATTTCAGAACATGCGTTACAAAGCTCCTGGAAAATAAGGGGCAGGCTTCATTCTGCAGCTGAAACAAGGCTGTGTGATTTAATCACACAACAGAGAATGAGAAGTGCAGAGATTAAAAAATGTATCATTCACCCATCTCCTGAAGCAATTCTCAGAAACAGAGGCAAAAGATGCAGTAGGTCTAAGTCTGATTTTGCCAAATTAGGAGACTGCTAGAGAGACTAATCAATTATGACAATTAATTATTGTTCTACCCACAGAGACAGAGACTGTGTGTTAAGTTTTTCAGAACAATTCTGTTGCCAACATCTGATATTCTAATTAGAATTTGCATATTGAAGAGGTAGATAAACTTCAGGGAATGAATTCCATTTGACTGCTAACAAAATAGTCATTTTGAATTCTTTATTTTACACTTAAGATATTTTCTCTCACTCCCACTCCCCCAGTGGCAGCTGGGTAACACACGCTTAGGGCTGGATGCCTCAGTTATCGGAACCCGTGAGACCCAATTTTTACACCAGTGAGGTGGGATGGAATGGTGGAGAGTATGGGGTTAGAGATGGGATCGCAGGCCCTG